TTGAGAGAGCTCCATGCATTGACGATAAAGTGGAACTGTTCTGTTCCCTTCTCACTCAGCTTTATGACGTTGACGCGCCAATGCAATATGTGAGACTTAAACACTATATAGATATATATGGTTCCAGGGCGGTAGAATTCTAGTTTGTAGGAATGATAACGATAAGCTCAAGGTCATCCGAAACTCTAGTGACATTGACAAAATGGCAATGGAAAAGTATGTAAGTCAGGAGTAGATAATTTTACACACTAGGCACCAATTCGGGCGTAACTGAATTTTATGATGCGGCAAATTTGTCTGATTTTAGTACCTATCTACCTAAAAATACTCCTCTTTTTAATATTGTACATATTAATATTAGATCTATTATCAAAAACTTTAGCTCGCTACTGCAGTCAATAAATCAATCACCAATAGCAATATACGTTATTATTCTAACTGAAGTAGGAATTTCGATAAGGAGCAATCTTTCTCAATTCTTTTGTATAGACGGTTATGAAATGTGCAGTGTGCTTCGTGAGCAGCGACGTGGTGGTGGTATTATTATGTACATTAAGAATTGCCACAGTTTCGAAGTCGTCGACAACTTAAAACTAACCCACTGTAAATCATTTATTGTAAATATTTAATCTTGCCACCACTACACGACTGACATTTGCGCATTATATCGACCACCTAATGAAAGCAAGCGCCTTTTTATTAAAGAACTTAAAATACTACTATGTAACAATTTAATCAAACACTGTGACTTGTACATAATCGGAGGCATAAATATTAACCTAAAATCGAAAAATAACATACGAGATTACTATTTAAGCTGCTTGGCCGAGTGTGGTCTGACGAGAGCAATATCGGAATTTACAAGAATAGAGATTCGAAATGAAAAAATCACGCGGAGTTGTATTGACCATATATTCGCGAGATCGCGCACGTCAGACATCTACGCGGCTGCGCTTGGAACAGTAATGGCAGATCACCGCATGTGCGTGCTATCGTGCGCCTGGACCGAGGCTAACTGCAGCGTACAGAATCATTCAAAACTCAAACAATTAATTAATAACAAAAATTTAATATCACTTCTTGAAAACGTTGAGTGGAATAAAATTGATTAAATGCAGTGTCCGATAGAGATATATAGCTTTATACATAGTAGTTTTGAAAATTGTTACAATAATTCTAAATATACTATAAAAATAGCCTTAATAGCAAAAGAAATAAGGAAAGATCGATAAATAATAAAATAAACATTTTTTGCGAAAAAAGAGACTTGCTATATAAAAAGTGGAAAAAAGATACAAGCAATAAAATATTAAGACTAGAGTTTAATAAAATTAGGAATAAAACAAATAAACTTATTGAAATATCACGAAACAAATACTATTATCACGAAATAAATAATAACAAAAATAACCCAAGAAAGTTATGGAATATTCTAAATTCCCTAACAGGCAGAGTAAACAAATCATTAGATGCGGCAATATTAAAAGCATTTCAAAAAAACAAATTAACAGCTAAACAATTGGCAAATAATTTTGGCAAAGGTTTTAAAGAAAATGTTGAAAGAATACTACCTAACTGTAAACAAAAACTTTTAGATCAAGCAACGTACCTGTTTTCTCAAAATAGTTCAATGCGGTTTAAAGCAGCAGATAGCAAGAGCATAGATAAATAATTCAGAAATTTAACATAAACAAAGCTCCCGGAGCGGACCAGATTCGCTACGTTGACATAAAATCCTTATGTGAAAAAATCACAACAGCAATTGCAAAGCTTATTAATACCGGTGTTGAATCTGATATTTATCCCTCAGAATTAAAAGTAGGAATAGTAAGACCCATCTAGAAAAAGGGGTCGCACTGTGATTATGACAATTATAGGCCAATTACAATACTTCCTGTGATAGATAAAATAGTTAAAAATACATATGTAACCAGATACAAAAATATTATATATCGAATGAAATCTTGTCCAGTACTCAGTTCGGTTTTCAAAAAAATAAATCAACTACATCTTTACTATCAAAATTTACCGATGACATTAACAATTATTTAGACAACAAGCAACACGTTTTTTTTTATTTATTGACTTCAGTAAAGCTTTCGATACACTTAAACACGATTTATTAATAAAAAAAACTAAATAATACGGGCGTTCGTGGGCTCAGGTGGTGTGAAGATTACCTCAAAGATAGAAACTACCGGGTGAGAATTGAAAACGAATTCAGTGATAAAAAAAAACCTGTCACTACAGGAACAGCCCAGGGATCGGTCATTGGCCCTTTACACTATCTGGCCTTTGTAAATGATATGGTGAATATGATTAAACATAGTTCAGTGTATCAATATGCAGACGATACTTGCCTAGTAATAGCTAACAAAGACATTACAAGAGCAGAAAAAATGTTACAACTCGACTTTACTAACCTATGTATGTGATCACATGATGCAGGACTTGTATTAAATACAATGAAAACTAAAATTATACATGTACGCTCAACGTACTCTAATAAAAACGAAAGACCAATAAAAATACTCGCACACAACCATAACTGCCTACATAAATCGCCGAAATTAAATATTAACTGTAATTGTACTCATCTAGAACAAGTTAACAATTATAAATACCTAGGCCTGATTGTGGACGAAAGATTCCATTGCAGTAAACATGTTGAGTATGTATGTAACAAGCTACGGGCTATGCTAGCAAAGTTTGCAATACTAAAATATAAAATGCCATTTCACATCCTCATGAATCTATATAACGCTCTTGCTGAGTCTATTATTTCGTATGGCATTACGAGCTATGGAAAAACATTTAAAACTTACCTATAAAATACATAACCTACAAATGAGAATATTGAAAATAATTATACCTAAGAAAGTAAAAATAAAATTATACAGTGAAAACAATATTCAAGGAATATTTAAATATTGTAAAGTCTTACCTATACATACGAAATTTCAGATGCTAATACTAATAGAAAAATTTCACAATAAAAAAGTGCAAGTTAAAACTAACCATAAAATGATTACAAGAAAAATTACACGTAATAAACTCGTAACATCCAAAATACATAACTACTATGGAAAACGTACAAATAGATATTTAATTCCTAGTTTATGAACCAAATCCCCCCTACAATACTCTCAGATTTCATTGAGAATAACTACAAAAACAAATTCAAAAAATATTTCTATGAACAGCTACAACGGGAGTAGATTACATAAATGAAATAGCATATATGTACATATGCACAGGTGTATATGCATATATCTTTCTATTTAAATAATAATCATGTTTATTTGTTTATATTTTGGTGATTGAATTATATATCTATGTAAATGCTAAAATATGAATAAATAAACAATGAAAAAGTTTAAATAATAATAAATTAAAAAATCATATCAACTCACACTTTTTGCAGCAACCTGTATACAGTTTCTGCTAAATAATCCGAGCGCTCTCTAAGAACGATCTAATTGTATCGCCCACACTCGTGGGCTCTTACTCGTGAGACTGTAACTTGCGGACAAACCTCAGGATTTTTGCAAGTTAAATAGATGTAACTCTTGTACGAGTACTTATTAAAATGTTATAAATAAATGAAAAAAAAAAGACTTACCTGCTCCGTGGCTCTCTGATGATCTGAAAAGGCTTATTTTGCAAAAGAATGCGGCATTGTCAAAGCATAAGAGGAATAAAACAGTGGAAAACGTAAGGAAATACGCCAAAATCAGGAACCGATGCAACACATTATACAAAGAATAGTTTTATTTAACTTCACATAACACCTATGGTCAAGAAGAAGTCTACGTCTGAACGATACGGAGCCCTGCAGAAAAGCTCCCACTTCGTTTAACTGGAGTTAGTAATAGATTTAAACCATAAACTAAGAAAAACATTATTAGAAAACGAAGATTATCTCTGGTTCAAGGATTATCTATGGTATTAAAGTTAAACTTCCGAGACCCTAGTTTAACAATGGTAAAGTGCGCGCAAGATAACTGCGCGCGACTGATGGCGTACTTAATGTTACCAGCATAACTAATATTTTTTTCCTTCATTTAATCTTATTACTAGAATTATATAATTATATCAAATTACACAAATAACCGTATTGATTACCGAAGCTCAGTTTTCTATACTAAGATTTAAGTTAATATAAATTATTCCTTAAAAACATTTGAAAACGTTTCATTTATGCGAGGGAGTTTGAGAAAAAAAAAAGCAAAAAACACGCTTCACATTTATTTTTGGTATTCTTCTCAGCAAATCCTTTTATTTGATATACATATCATTAAAATGCACAAAAAATAACTTGTCCTCCATCTTTGGGACTCCCCCATATTGGATTTAGAATGAGGTCACTTATTTTCATCTAAACTTAACGTATATGCAAAATTTCTGCTCCATCTAGAACCTAAAAGTTGGTCAAAGGAGACGGTCCATTTCTGGCCCACTCTATGTACACTATACTGTAAAAGAGAGAAAAATTCAGGGATTTTGTTAAAAATAAAATAAGAGAATAAGTCAAACTAAATAACGTGCAAAAAATAAAAATGCAATCCTAAGTTTTTGATGGTTTTACAGGATGGCGCCCTTTCAGTCATAAAAACTAAAAAGACGCGGTTATATGTCAAATGTCATTTCTGTCAAGTGATATTTTTATTTATTCCGAGCTTGGTCGTGTAGTTGTGAACTCGTGAATGCGTTTAATTGTGGATTTCTTTGGCGATTTGGTTTGTTGTTTGGACTTTGGATCTGTTTTCTACTTGTTTGACTCATTTCTTCGTTGATATCGGAAATCTGTATTCTGTAGTCACATTTTGAAACAGTAAGCAGGTATGTACTAAAGAAAGATGTTTCCTTATGTTATTAAACGCATTTGAATGACATGCTTCTATCTGTAGTCTGTTAATATTTATTAATTTCTACACAAGTTCATAATGGCTGCAAAATCTTAATATGATGTAATTATCTTTCAGTTCACCTGTTATAACATGTTGCACTGTTTAAAATGCGCTTCTGCAATAGTAGAAAATGAGCAATATTACATTGCTGGAGATATGGGTCCAGAAATCATTACCATTCTGGAAAATGCAGATCAATTGGTAGGAACACACATACTTTAATCAGATTACTTGGCAATATCTGGTCCATAGAAAATTTTAGTGTATTAAAATAAGATTGTTATGTTTTAGATGGATGAAAATGGACCAATATGTTCACAATGTTTTGCAAACATATTGCAAGAATTATCTGTCGGTTCAAATCTTGAAAATGAGCTCCAGCGCCCTAATGCCAATACTATCAATATATTGTGTGTTTGGTGTCAACGAAGACTAGGTAGCGGACGTTGTCATTCTGTTTCAGAGGGGCCTGAGAGATATTATATCTCTGAAAGAATTTCTCCAAGACAAGTGAGTATTTATGTTTAGGCTTACTAATCTGAATATTCATGATCTCAGCAGTAAATAAAATAAACAATTATGTATCAAATATTTATTTGAGACATACGATATATAGATGACAAACGAGCACACAGTTCACCGAATGATAATTGGATGCAGTGGCCTACAAACATAATCATTTATTTCTGATTACGAATCAAAATTCAGATGCGTTGTCACCCCTAAAGACTATGATGGAATGCCTTGTTTTCAGTAAAAAGGATCTCCGGTTCTCTACACTCACCATACGAAACACAGTAGCGTAAAGCTGCTATTTTACGCTGGTATTCTGTGAGAGCGTGTTCATTCCCCAGGCAGGCCAACCCATTACTTTCATTCATGTATTCCTTAATATTATAATAGCACTGCCTCGTTGGTTCAATGATCGTCAACGCGATTGCTGATCATTTTGTCTCGGATTCGAATCCCGGGTCTGGTCAAAATCAGTAATTTGGTTTTTCTGTCAAGAAATTCTAAGTAACAGCTCAGAGTTAGGAAATTGACGGTGTTTCTCTCCCGTACCTCGGCCCCGCTCGAGTCCACCCAATCGAGTTACAATCATACTTTCTGCAGCGTGGCTCTACCACGTAGTAATAGGTATTATATTGTTACAGATACCTGAAGGTGCAGTGGTTTGTCATCTTTGTTGGACAAAAACTCAACAAGAATTACGTAGACAAGGAGTTTCATATGTGCCATCACCTAATACAATTTTTTGTATATGGTGTCTTCGGTCACTTGCCAACACACGCAGGCACTCAATACCAGATGGCCCAGAACGAAATGAAATTATAGCTAGGATCCATCCTAGAAGAGTAATATTTTATGTATTTTCTAAGTCTATATGTACTAAGTAAAAAATACCTCTTTTTAAAAATAATCCAACAGTTAAAACTTATTGTCTTGTTTTGAACAGATATTTGAAATATTTTTCTATTTTTAGTTATTTGACAAATAAAAATAAGCTCTCTCTGCACTAGGGGCTTATGAAAATATGAATTACTAGCTTTTGCCGGTGACGGTTAGCTTGTCCTTGTGTAGTTTGATTTAAAATCGCTCGGCAACCCTTTGCTTTTCCAGGATTGAAAGTAGCATAAAGGTCCTCAATTATACACAGGCATTGCTCACATTGCTCACATGGCTTTGATCATATAGCTATGTTACAGCACGATTGAATGATAAACCAACAAACAAACACATTTTCGCATTTATAATATTAGTACTTACACATTTAACAAAACTAATATTATAGAAAATAATAAAGAAAGAATACATATTCATTCATTAACGATGCCACAGACAAACGAATATACTAAAGTAACATTAATCGTCTGTGACACCACTCAGGATGGGTATTACAGCTCAGCTTTTTGCTTAGCATCATATTAAAATTAGGTTACCTCCGATTAAACCTATGTTTGAAACTAAAATATAAATATATTAAACTTAACTTAATAACTTTTTAAGCAAATGTTTTAAATTAAAAAAAATATTGCTAAAATGTGCAACTATATTATATAGTTCATTTTTATACAATATTCTTTTTAATCCCCTACAGATTCCTCCTGGCGGATGTGTCTGTTATGCGTGCTGGATTGCAGCGTGTAGAAATGTGCAAAGAGCTGCTAATATTGAGGAAGGGCAGCAAAATCCAGAACCTTCATATCAAAATTATGGAGCAGACTGTGTTTGGTGTAAAATAACTTTATTTCAAAGGCAAGTTCGTATTTTACGTGACGGCCCTGAAAGGGATATAGTGTCAGATAATATTTATCCCAATGAGGTAATTAAATATAGTATTTTCTACATTTTATGTAAGCATTCTAATAATTACTTTACTTGAATAAGCCAGTTATGAATAAATTAAACAATTTATTTGTATGTATGATCATTGGTGCACATTTTTATTGTACATTATTAACCCATTGCTGACCCACAACTGGGCATACGTTTCTTCTCAGAAAGGGAATGGTTTAAGCCATAGTCCACCGCGCTAGCCATGTGCAGATTGGCACACTACACACACTTTAGTAATTGAACATGTTGTTCATAACAAGTAGGTAAGCTTTACTTAAATATTTTTTGTTTCAGTTACCAGAACATGCCCTCTTGTGTATTGATTGCTGGGCACGGGCACAAGAACATGTGCAAATTGCTGAAGGCAGTGTAGTGCAGCCTGCTGGAACAACAAATCCTTCGATAAGCCTGGCAGATGATTATAAGCATACACCAAATTCTAGCAGACATTGTTTCGTTCCATTTTGTACCAACCCTGAGAGGCTCAATGTGCCAGATTTTTTAAGGAAGAGGATTTTGCAATCAACAAAAATATATGTCACAGAAAATTGCAGAATTTGTGCTGAACACCAAACTACCTATAATTGGGAGTTTTTAGAAGAAAATGAATTCTCAAGTAATTTCACACAGGCAGAAATAAAATCAATGTTAAACCTCAGTCTATGTCAAGACTTAACCAATAATAATTTGGACTTTGAAAGGTTTAATGAATTCGACGAGAATGTTTTTAAGTACTGGACTGGCCTCACTAAAGAAAATTATTTGATTATTTTAAATCAAATTAGTCCAGCATTGGGTTGTAAATTTCAAAAAACGGCGTTGGGTGCATATTTAATTAAAATAAGAACAGGGGATTCCCATGAAAGAATTTCCTCTCTGTTGGGTATTAGTAAAACCGAACTTGTCAGGCTACTCCAAAGAGCTCGAGAAGCTTTAACAAGTTTGTTCGTGCCCCACCACTTGGGGCTTAATCACATTACTAGAGATGATCTGATAAGCAGGAATTTATTAATACCTGAGGGCTTATTCGGTAACAGAGAAGAGAGAAAGCCAATAGTCATATGCGATGGAACATACATATACCTACAAAAATCCTCTAACTATTTTTTTCAGAAAAAAACATATAGCTTGCACAAATATCGCAATTTAGTTAAACCATTTTTACTAGTAGCTACTGATGGTTATATCCTGGACATTTTTGGCCCTTACCCGGCAATTGATTCTGATGCCAGTATTATGAAAGCCTTATTCCAAAATGAAAATGGCGATTTGCGCCTGTTTTTTATGGAAAATGACATTTTCATTTTGGACAGAGGCTTTCGGGATGCTATTTCTTTTCTCGAAGAATTGGGCTATGTAATACATAAGCCATTGAATTGTGAAGAAGGAGAGGCTCAATTATCGACGATTAATGCTAATAAATCCAGATGTGTCACCTTGTGTAGATGGGTAGTAGAGGTGGTGAATGGAAGATTAAAAAGAGATTTTAAATTATTCCGACAGGACCACTTCAACGCAGCTGCCACCCATCTAATGGACGATTTGCGTATTTGTGCAGCTATGATTAATGCTTTCCATCCAGTTATTGTTGATAGGCCGGATGACCAGGTGATACTAAATCGTGCACTACAAAGGCTACATATGCCAAATGAATTGGCAGAATTAATTGTAGCCAATAGAATTAACAGATATCGAGCCCATTTCACAAGAATTGACGCACAACTTCCAGAATTAGATATTTTTCCTGTAATGACTATGTCTGATCTCAAAATTTTTGGATTAGGGACATACCAAATTAAGCAGGCAAGAAGCTATTATGGGGAACATATAAGACAGCATGGTTCATTTCAGGTGGAAATATCTAATGATCTGGAAGTTGTGACCCAATTAATATCATCCCAACAAGACGCTGTTTTAATAAGAGGCCGCATAAAATCTCGCCATCACTCGGGCAGAGCCTATTATACATATATACTGTTGGCGAGACAAGAAACAAGTTGGGATAAGATGATTGCAGGATATTATTGCAGTTGCACTTCTGGACAACGGACAGTGGGTTGCTGTGCCCACATAATGACCGTTGTCTGGTATTTGGGATGGGCTCGGTATCAAAATTCCATAACCGCACCGGCCTCAATTCTGGATGGCATTTTAGTAAGAGAGGATTTTGAAGTAGGATAAATAAATAAAAATAAAAAGTTAAGCTGTTTTATTTATCTATATAAATAAATAAAATTGAAGTGTCTGTTTGTAATGTAAAAATTACAGTTTTTTTTCTAAATGCATATGAAATACGGTACTTATAACTAAAATACAATTTTAAAATTTTTTTCTGTCTGTCTGTTTGTTCCGGGTAATCTCCGAAACGGCTAGACCGATTTTGACGGGACTTTCACTAGCAGATAGCTGATTTCATAAGGAGTAACTTAGGCTACTTTTATTTTAGAAAAATAATTGGGGTTCCGCACAAAAACATAAAAACCCTAACACGCGAGCGAAGTCGCGGGGAACAGCTAGTATTACCATAAGTATTCAAAACATGATTGACCTAATGTTTCACTTTCTATAATTCATAGGACTGTTACCCTTTGTTATGACATTATCCAGGCTTCAAATGTCTGTCAAGGCTCAAGGCATACTCTGACACGCTGAGGACCTGTTATATGAAAATATTTGTACGCCGGAAACGGCAGAATATTTAGGATGCCAATTCTTTTGTAACAACTGTAATGTACCATAATATAACAAATAAATTATATTATCTATGATTGTACCCTAGCACTTCAGCAGCCCAGATAGACACATATACTTGAACAGAAATTATTATTCAGGATTATTCTGTTTATCCACCTTATAAGAGCCACTCTAAGGTAAAATAAGTTAAATATATTCTATAAGATTAGTGCAATAAAGTATCTCACGGTGGATTTTGGGCTAATGAATGCAATGAAATCATTTTGTGCGTAGGCACCGTTGATTTATCTCAACTATCTTCTTGTCTGGAATTAGGTAGTACTTTTTACATTTGTTTTCTTCTGAACTGCATTTATGATATGCAAATATCAACAAGAACGTTAGTTGTTTTAGACCAAAAAAGCACATACACAATCTATAATACACTTTATTCGTGTTTTGATCAAAAAATACAACTTTTTTGCCCTACTTTCCTACTAGTTTAGAGAAATTTTAGCTATTTTACATAATAAATCTACCTGATAGGCTATATAGGTGATATAAGTATATCACAGACTAACTAGTAGATTCTACCCGAGAGTATATTTCAGAGATGACAGCTAACGTCAAATCAAAACGACGTCAATCCGCCATTAGGGTTGCATTTATTGGTGAGAATAAAATATAATTGCACTGAAATTAAGGCGAATTCGTGGATTTGAATGATCAAAAGTGGTTTAATATTTTATTTTAATTTATTTCCATGCTTGTACATAAACTGGGCCTACGCTCCATACAATTTTGGACCGTCTCCTTTAACTTTCTATTTTTTTTTACATAATTATAGATGAGGATATTATATGCGTGTTAGAAATGACTATTATTATGATTAATGAACACTGGTATTTTGTCTATAATGAATTTTTCAAAAAAGGTATTTTATAATTATTTATTGAGAACGATTTTAAAAGTTTAGAAGATGAAGCTTCTGCTACGTTATGTACCCTCTTGAGCTATTTGGGCGACGGTGAGTTTAGAAACGCCTAAAACATAATAAAAACAATGCATTATAAATACATGATATTACTGACACGAGGAAACTAAAAACGAACAAATCGAGAAAATAAGGGAGTTTTATTTGTTATGGCAGCCCTAAAAATTACCTGTGAAATATGAAACATGGGCTCCAACTTTGGAAAACGGTACTGTAGGCCCGTTATTGTCTCGTTCTTCTTCACAAGCACGTTTTTTCAGGTGGTTTGTGATGCTGACCTGAAAATCATGGATCTTGTTACCAGGTGGCGTGGCAGTGTTCCAAGAATGTAGACTAAAACAGAGGTTTGAGGCTGATGCATGCTCTGGAATATTACTTGGTGACAGTGACTATCCTTGTACTCCTTACCTATTTACACCGCTGCTGAACCCCACAACACCACAAGAAGAAAGATATAATAGGAGCCATGTCCGTACCAGGAACACGGTGGAAAGATGTTTTGGTTTGTGGAAGCAACGGTTTCGTTGCCTATTAAGAGGTATGTTTGGAGATATTGAAACAGCAGAAAAAACAATTGCTGCATGTGCTGTACTACACAATATGGCCATTGACATGAGAGAAGATGTATTTTCTGATGAGAGAGATAGCATTGAATAATATTCATCTGAACCTATAGTACAAAGATATATTCCACCATCAATAAGGGGAAATATTAGGAGAAGACAGTTTATTGAAATTCATTTTCAGTAGGTAAACAATTTTTTTTACAAAATTAAAATTTACAATTATATTTATAAAATTGTCAAATTTTTTTCAATTGTCTAAAGCTATTATGTATATATAATTTATTTTATTTTGTAATTTAGAGGCCAATTTTGGCTATAAAATTACATTAAAGATCAATAAATATGTAAGACTATTATAATAATATTTCTGTTTTGATTTCAGACATAATACCGTTTTATAAAGGAAAATCTTTCTGCAGAGCCGTTGTCAGCTGTCAAAGAATAACAACTACATATTACAATTTTCCCCAATATGGAATAAATTCAGGGAAGTATTGTGATAATATTTCATTTATTGAGTAAAATGCTTTTATTTAGGCTATAAATGATTGTGTTTCAGAGAAAGATACGGGGTACAGCTCATTGCACATCAATATGAAGCTATGTTATATAAAGACTTAAGTGCTGTAGAGATCTGTTTAGACTTTTTTAATGAATATCGTCCCTCCTCTACATTCACAGCCGGATTTCTTTTCCAGAGGTGCACGGGTCCACGGGGAGTAGGACTGTATGATAACTAAGTAATTAGGTTTAGTTTTTTGTATTATCGTTTTTTACTATGGTATATTATATTTCATTGTTATGTAAATAAAATATTTTTATATTTATTTATATTAATTATAATTATTTACTTTAATTATTAATAAAAGATAAATATTTGCAGCAAATAAGTACCTGAAAAGAATAAGTATTACGTAATAATCTATATTTAATAAAAATCCTTCGATTCTATTCTCGTTCTATATACACACCATACCTAAACACAGCAGTGTTAAGCTGCTATTTAACTTGTGTTTTTCTGACTTTCTAATAAAGATATTTGTAATTCTAATTTTCAAATTTTTAGGTTAGCTATTTTAACATTGTATTTTTGTTCCTCTTCCATCATTTCCAGTTGTCTTTTTTTTTAAATCTGTGTTAATTTTTACAATTGTTTGGTATATATCTTCTCTTCTGTAAAATGAAATGGAATACTTAATGTAAGTTTTTTAGTTATTTTAGACATGTACAAAGTATTTTAGAGTAATAAAAGTGCACTTAACCTTGTACACCAATAAAATAAATATTTTTATAATTATTTTTAAATCAATTCATATTAAACTTTGCTTTTAATATTTGAAAACATGAAACAATTTTCAGTGTTTAAATACTAATTTTCAAATGTTAAAAAGTATGTAATGTATCAGAGTATCCCCGTGTAGTGGCGGGTAAGAATACTCACTACCCCATATCTTCACGTGGGTGTCGTAAAAGGCGACAGAGGGAAACTGAGGCAGAAGATGGGCAGCAGCATCTTTCTGATAACAGCAAAACAACAATAAAAAAAACTGCGGTTGCCAACCCGCTCGCCAAGTGTGGCAACTATGGCAATATACCCCCCATGAAAGTAATGAAGAGACGGCCCCCAGCCCAATGACCAAAAACTTAACATATGTTATTGACAATAAAAAGAAAACTGCCAACTGGGACCATATTGTTCAATTACATGAAGAAAATTCAGCCTACCAAGGCATTAGACTTTCCAAAACTCACAGAATACCATGTGAACCCAAAGAAAATACCTAAAATGAAAGTGAAATGTGCTACATTACACAAGTTTTTAGTAGAACATTTGCTGTAAACATGGGATACCTAGCAGGTAAGAATAACAATCTTTTTTAGTTTTCTTTGTGCTTATTTCTTATTAAACTTCAATAAATAACTAACATATTTGTTAGATTATAAAATATCCAATCATTTGGCCATAAAATCCATAAATAATAGTTTTTATTTTTAATTTGCATATACAATTTTGATATATAATTATCATACGAGTCAAACATTACAAAAGAAATCATTCTTGCATTATTGTCATTTGTAAATCTATAAACTTGGCTCGTACATTGTTAGTGTCATAACTAACCAACAAATATTACATTCATATTTTTTGTGGGTGTCATAAAAGGCGACAGAGGGAAACAATTTAATAATAATAACAACTAAAAAAATCCTGTGGTTGCCAACCAAGCACGGCAACTAAGGCAAATGTCCTGCCTATGATGTAATCTATGTAAGAGATACATTAGCAAAATAAATAAATATATTTTGAGAAGGTAGTCTTATTAATAATTTTATTATTAACTTTTTTCCAGATAAAGGAATACTATCCAATGACTGCAAGGATACTGCCGATACATTATTATTTTTTGATGAAATCTTCGATTAATTAAATGGAAGCTATGAAAATAATAAGAAAATGTGTGGTAAATCTTTTTAAGGTCCATCATCATCTCATCAAGTAGTGTGGGATAATTCTACACAAATTCTGAAAACCATGAAGTTTGTGTCTGTAAGCACAGGCACATCTGCTTGTGTTCCATCCATTAGGAATTGGTTACATACCATTGAAAATATCAAATATTTGAAAACAAAATTATACAAAGAACAAAATTTAAGTCGTTATGGTTACGTTATTTTACGCAAGACCCACTAGATAATTTTTTGACTCTATAAGAAACCATGGGGCAAGGCAGCAGGTTTTGAAATTGCATTTGCATTATAGTCAGGAAATAATTTAAATAACTCGCATTCACCAGGGGCTAATTGTGAGAAAGATTCCTGCCAACCATTGAAGTCATTGTACAAGTTATTTTTAGTAAAAAAACTCAAACCAATAATGTTACAACAGAAGTAAATATTGATCATATTAATAAATCCTGACACACCTCTCTCCCTCTCTCGCCTCCTCC